ATTTGGATTTCCATTAATTAAAAAGTAACAGTTATTTTCTCGTTAAAAATTTGTTTTCTTGTTATGAAAAAATAAAGAATGATGTAGAGGAATCACCTAATACCAGGAAGAGACAATGACGTTTACAAACAAATTGAAAATTAAATTGAACATTAACCGCTTTCATGTTGCTTAGATTGAATAAAGAAATCAAACACTGAGACAAATGAAAGATAGGAATAAGAGTAAAAGTCATAATGAGATTTTAAAATTTTATAGAAAGATTTATGGTATATGTCGACACATTCAGTATTAATTATTCGCACAAATAACCGGTAGGAAAATTTTATATAATTTAATTATCGCATAACTAAAATTATTAAAAATTTAAATAATTAATTAAAATTCGAAAACTATGTTTTTTGTAATGAAATAATTATTTATACACATATTTTGCAAAATTGTGTTACGTAGACATTGAGAAAATGCATCAAATAGATCGAAGAAAATACTTTCTAATACTTAGATTAAAATCGAACATTCAAAGTAAATTATAATAAATGGCAAAGAAATTAATTTTCTTTGGTATGGTTTCAATCAGAAATTTCTGATAATTTTTTCCAATTGGGGCATTGAATCACTTTATGACTACGTTTATAGATATGCAAATAGAAAACTTTTATGAATGAAACAGAGCAGAGTTAATTGCCTAATTTGTTTGCGTGGCTTTACTTATAAAATTTAATATATAAGTATGTAATGAATGACGTTAAATGTGATTTTTTATTTCCGATACTCGAAGCATAATAACCGATCGTTTCTTACTAGATTAATTTCATTTCTTGTTGCCAGTGAACCAAACGCAAAAACAATGATTGATAATTTAAATGCTTTTTTATGAATTTTAGGAGCGCGTGGCCGCCAATGTTGCTGCAACATTAAAAGGAGAACTGGGTGTTGCTGCAACAATATCTAAATACCTAAATTAAATTTTATATTTATTAATTTAGACAATTTTGTGGCTATTTTATAGAGATTAAGAGAACAATGTTTTAATTAAACCAAATTTGGCAGAAAATATAACATTGTTTATTATTATTATATAAAATATATGAAGCTGGCATTTGTAACTGAAAAAAATCTAAACTTAAATAGTAACAAGTAAGGAAGTACTAAGATCGGGTGGAACCGATTATTTTATGCTCTTGAAACTTGCAAGGATAAAATCCGGGGAAATACCTTCAGGCGTAGCAAAACTCTATATGAAACTAGAAAAACCGTTATTTCAGCTGCACTGAAGCTCTAATACCCTTCACATGGGCATTCCTTATAGCAAAAAAGGATATAAAAAGATCTTGATATTAATCGATTAGTTTAAATGGCAGCTTTATACAATAGACGTCCAATCTGAACAATATATTCGTAAATTGTAGTATTGCTTTGGACAAAACTCCATGCCAAATTTCATGAAGATATCGTGTCAAATAAAAAAAAGTACATACAAGGACTTGATTTTGACCGATCATTTTGTATGACAGCTATATCCTATAGTGGTCTGATGGCGGCGGTTCCGCGTACCCTATTGTTTACACTTAGCCATCTTATCTTCTTTCACGAATTCCGAAATATTATCCTAGAACTACTTAACTAACTAAGATTACCGATTTTAGTTGAATGTCTATCATTCGGGAAGGTTTGACGTCCATGTCGTGCATTCATTTTCAATAATTAAAAATTTATAAAATTTAAAGAAATTTTTCTATTTTATTTCGCATGCATCTTCGGTATTTGTCGTAGGTAGTCATCGTGGTAGGCATCTATGGAATTCTTCACTGATTTGTGCATACACGTTTATAGAACATTCTGCTTTTAGCCGAAAATATATGAAGTGGACGGATGGACGGACAGACAGACAATCACTCAGAATTCAAATTGTCTCGTCATCTTGATCATTTATATATGTGTATATTTATATATATACATATACCATTGTTACTTATTATATTTATAGGTATATATGTACCATATTTATGAAGTTTGCCAGAAGAGCGAAAATGAGGTGTTAAAAGTAAACATTTGTATTTGACAAGATTTATTCACAAAATTTGGAACGGATTACTATCGAATGCAGCGCTACAATCTCCGAATAAATTGTTCAGATCGAACAACTATAGCATATGCTATATGAACGAATAGCATATGTCATTTAAACTGACCGATCACAATCAAGGAATTGATCTCTATAAAAGGTTGTTTTCCGTTGGATGCAAATTGTTGGCCGGTTAAGTTTTCAAATTTAGTAATAGATATAGTAGTTGGTATAAGAAATGCACCTGTGAAGGTTCTTATATAATATATTATATATAATAATTATAATATCTTCAGTGCAGCGGCAGTTACCATTATTTCTGGTATTTCCATTAAATTTAAAATTATTATCATTATACAAAGTAAATCGGCCATTGTTACCGCAATTATCGTATGTATAGAAAGCAAGGAGGAAAACTTTTCAATTATTAGCAAGAGCCACATTGTTTTGTGTAGCAAAAAATTCCGAAATATGTTTAAAATATTTTACGAACCGGAATTTATAACGATTAAGGTTTATATAAACGAAAAAACAACTAGTATAAATCGCATAAGCTGACATAAGCACATAGCGATAGAACAATAGGTATTTTACAATTTTGTTGCGGTATTTTGTACTGTACTGAATTCAATTGGATAACTTTATTGATGCTATGAAGTTATTTGAGAAGAGAGCATAAGGTAATCCTGCCGACAAATAAATTTGGAAGGAATATTTTAGTTTCTTATCAAACTATTATACTATATTAAAAAGTTTTAATTACAGAAATAGTAAAAAGCGCAAGTGCGTAAAGTAAAAACAAGTAAGGAAGTACTAAGTTCGGGTGTAACCGAAGATTTTATAATCTCGCAACTTGCAAGGACTAGGTTTTGGCAAAATTTTATATTCAAGGAAGTATTGATCCGATTCAACCCATTTTTGACACAAAACATACTATTAGCGAGCATTTCATTTATTTATTTTATTATATGAATTTCAATTATATATCTTACACATTGACTGATATTTTCGATAAAAACTATAGGCACTGGGGTCCGCATATTTAGTACTTAGAGGCTTGAACAGTTTTGGTTCGATTTAGACAATTTTTGGTCACAAGGTGGCATACTTTAAACGTATTATTCATGCAAAGTTTTACCCCGATATAATCATTGTTGCTTGATTTGCATAGAGGAAAGTGAAAGAATCAGATGGAATTTAAAGTGGTGTTATTTGAGAAATATCCGATTTCGCCGATTTTCGCACTACAAGTATAACATTAAAATATGAGAAGAATGTGATGTATCGAATTTGGTTGAAATCGGTTGGGCAGATCTCAAGATATGGGTTTTCACCTAAAAGTGGGCGGTGCCACGCCCACTGCCTAATTATGAATTTGCTTTCTATAAAGTCATCTTATACCATCCCAGAAACAAAATTTAATTTCTTTGGCGTGTATAGTGCTTGATTTATCGCGCTTTTAGTATTTTTTAACAGTACCGTTATATGGGGAGTAGGCGGGGTTGTCACCCGCTAGCTTTAGCGGTTTAGGAGATATGCACATTAAACCTATTAGAGGCGGGACCACGCCCACTTTTTAAAAAAAAATTTTAACTGCAGATGCCCCTCCCTAATGTGATCCTGTGTACCAAATAACAGTCTTGTATCTTATTGCGTAGCTTAGTTATGGCAATTTATTTGTTTTTGATTAATGGCGATTTGTGGGCGTGGCAGTGGTCCGATTACGCCCATCTGCAATACCAACCGTCTCACGGTACCAAGACACATGTCTACCAAGTTTAATAAAGATATCTCAATTTTTACTCAAGTTACAGCTTGCACAGACGGATGGATGGACGGACAGACAGTCTCCCGGATTTCAACTCGTCGCTTCATCCTGATCATTTATATATAATATAACCCTATGTCTATCTCGATTAATTTTAGGTGATACAAACAACCGCTAGGTGATAAAAACTAATATACTCTGTAGCAACATGTTGTCATCCAAAAAATATGTCGCAGAAGCCTAAAGGGCCACCAAATTGCATTAAGTACCGCCAAATTTTCAAATTATGATATATATTCGACACGGAATGAAGACATCAACGACTTAAAATTTACTGAAATGGCAAAGCCATAATGTCCTTCGAACTCCAACACACTACTAGAAGCGCAAAGGAAGGGAGATAAAACCTCCACCTTGGAAAAACCCCACTGATACTGAAACTTGATTTCACTCTATGTATCTAATCGACTTTAATATTTATAACGAAGATATGACTGACCCGAAAGAACAAACACGAAGTTTTATTGAAACTGTTTTTGTCAAGAACCTTGACGAACATTTGTTAAGTTTTTCTTCAGATGTCTTATAGACGTATAATGCAAATTCACCATCTGAATTTTAACAGCTCTCCGAAAGTAGGAAATAAATGATTCATATAGGACACAGTTTCCATGTAAAGTCTTTTTAACCAAAGCAAATGCAAAAACATAATAATTTAAATTAAAACAAATTAGAATATTAAGTCGATTGCATGACTAGCACTAGTTGGGCGAAGGATTCAAATCCCAAAAATTATATAAACAGTTATAGAATTATTCTTCAAACGGCATTCGTCACCGCCTTGTAATCCAAACGTTCACCAAGTTAAGTTCCAGCAACATAAAGTGGTTCTCAAATAAATCCACGAGCCAGATAATTTCAATAGTAGTCGATATGCATTCAGAAGAAAGCGAAAAAAATTTTTTTTCTGTGGAATATATAATATATATTTATATAAAAAAAAACATAATTATAACGGATATATTGTGTGAATCCATCGGAAAAGTAGTTTGATGTACTGGAAATATAAATGAGTTTAGGTAAATACACATGAGATATATTAATGTATATATAAAAACTCGGTTTCTAAAACAAGACGAGCTTACTTTGCTGCTGAGCGGAATAAAATCACCTAATTTAATCAAAAAACGAACAACAAAATATAACCCACCTAACAGTATATATTTATACTATAGGTAGACAGTGAATATTATACATATATGTATGTATGCATATATGCATATTCGCATAACTGACGATCAGCGCCTGTGGTCCCCCTTAAATATGTTTGTATATAACCGCTTGGCATTTTTTCCAGCTGAGTCTAGCGGGCAGACCTAGCAGACCAGCTCACTATAAAAGGTGGAAGCAACGAATGCATCGCCATCAAATTCACTTCAAGTGTCTTGAGAAGAACAAAAGCGACCAATAAACTATATCTTGTAAATTCCATACGTTTAACTAAATACTAAAATACGAATCAACATGAACTTCAATAAAGTCTTCATCTTTTTGGCTGTGGTGATTGCCATTTTCGCCGGACAAACGGAGGCGGGTTGGCTGAAGAAGATCGGCAAGAAAGTTGTAAGTATTTTTACTAATGAAATTGTCTATCTTTGGCATAACTAAAATTCTTAATTTTGTTTCCGACAGGAACGTGTTGGTCAGCATACCAGGGATGCCGCCGTTCAAGGAATTGCTGTGGCGCAACAGGCCGCCAATGTCGCTGCTACTGCCCGCGGATAATTTTTATTGCCATATATTGCAAATATTTGAATTACAGTTATAAACTCAAATTTTCCTAAATATGTCATAGCATTTACTTAAAAAACTATTTATTTAACAAAACAATACGCAAACATTAAAATTATTAAGATGACGAACAAATTTTGAATAAAATGAAATTCCTAAAATAATACTGGTATTTATTTATTTTCCCTATAATTTATTATTTATAGGTATAATCCTTTTATACTATAAACGATTTAAGAATATTTCGTAGCAACAACATCTTCAAATCAGGTAAAACTGCTAAAAAACCAATACAAATAACTTTTTCATTTGGATTAGTGATTTAATTTTACCGAATTTGAATTTACGAATAATTATAAAGGTATTAATCTACAATAATTTATTTGTTTTATAGATTTTCCTAATAAGTCCGCACTATATACGACATTAACTTTTTGAAAAGCCTTGCGGATTTTCTAACTAAATGGATATGAAATTTTATTGGTTAAGCCAACCGAAAACAAGCAAATGTCCTCCTCGAAAGCATTCAGAGAATACCAGTTAATAAACCAATATCCTAAGGCCCTTATACAGAAAATATCTGCAATATCAAGGATATAAGGACCTATGTACTGGAAATTCTGTACAATCTATGGTTTGTGGACCGAATTTGTGAGGCATAAATATATACATCCTCATATTTTCCATCATGTATACTTTTTCTATAAGTGGAAAATGTATATGTATGTGGATATATATGATCTCTGATTCTTGCTCGAGTTTCTCCTAAACAGTTTTTGATGTTTGTCAGTATAGACATCTAACTCTAACCTTAAATATTGACACATCCAAGCACTCAAAGCTAATAGAGATTAATAAATATGATTATTTATAAGAAACGGTCAGAATGACGTGACGGCTTCCATTGTTCGTCTATTCCTGTGAGTAATTTAGACAAAACTAGGTACACGTCTTCACAAGTTAAGGAAAAATAAACCTAATTTGGTGCAAAGGACCGTTAGTTTGAAAATTTTGAACGTAATTGAAAATCGGACAATAGGTGTGGATATTTGAAATGGACGAATTCGAACTATAACGCATAAATAAAGGAACAATGAAGATATCAAAACAAAACCTTACACAAATAACGCGTCTGATTTGTGGCAACTCGTATCGAAGAATTGTCAAAATAGCTAACTAACATATCTTAATTATGGGGGAAGTGTAAAAATTTGCAACAAAAAACGACTTTTTTTTTTGACAAGCCGCCATTTTGTCAAAAATCAAAATTTTTACTATGCCTTCGATTATTGTCTGTATTCATCTATGGTAGTTATTATTTTTTTATTTATTTTTTTTTATTTTTGGTTTAATTAATTTGGTTAAATCTTGCTCTCCACCGACACTTTCTAGCGGAGGTTCTCCTAGAGATCGGCAACGAATTACTATTGTAATCATGAATTTGATTTCCATTAATAAAAGTAACAGTTATTTTCTCGTTAAAATTTGTTTTCTTGTTATGAAAAATAAAGAATGATGTAGGGAATCACCTAATACCAGAAAGACAATGACGTTTTACAAACAAATTGTGAAAATTGAGCAGAACATTAACCGCTTTCATGTTGCTTGAATTGAGAATAAGAAATCAAATACTGAGACAAATGAAAGATAGGAATAAGAGTGAAAGTCATAATGAGATTTTAAAATTTTATAGAAAGATTTATGGTATATGTCGACACATTCAGTATTAATTATTCGCACAAATAACGGTAGGAAAATTTTATATAATTTAATTATCGCATAACTAAAATTATTAAAAATTTAAATAATTAATTAAAATTCGAAAACTATGTTTTTGTAATGAAATAATTATTATAAACATATTTTGCAAAATTGTGTTACGTACATGAGAAATGCATCAAATAGATCGAAGAAATACTTTCAATACTTGAGATTAAATCGAACATTCAAAGTAAATTATAATAAATGGCAAAGAAATTAATTTTCTTTTAATTTTCTCAAAATTTCTGATAATTTTTCCAATTGGGGCATTGAATCACTTATGACTACGTTTATAGATATGCAAATAGAAACTTTTATGAATAAACAGAGCAGAGTTAATTGCCTAATTTGTTTGCGGCTTACTTATAAATTTAATATATAAGTATGTAATGAATGACGTAATGTGATTTTTATTTCCGATACTCGAAGCATAATAACCGATCGTTTCTTACTAGATTAATTTCATTTGTTGTTGCCAGATTTCGGCGAACCAAACGCAAAAACAATGATTGCTAATTTAAATGCTTTTTTATGAATTTTAGGAGCGCGTGGCTCAACAAGCCGCCAATGTTGCTGCAACATTAAAAGAGAACTGGTTTTGCTGCAACAATATCTAAATACCTAAATTAAATTTTATATTTATTAATTTAGACAATTTTGTGGCTATTTATAGAGATTAATTTTTAATTAAACCAAATTTGGCAGAAATATACATTGTTTATTATTATTATATAAAATATATGAATGGCATTTGTAACTGAAAAATCTAAACTTAAATAGTAACAAGTAAGGAAGACTAAGATCGGGTGGAACCGATTATTTTATGCTCTTGAAACTTGCAAGGATAAAATCCGGGAAATACCTTCAGGCGTAGCAAAACTCATATGAACTAGAAAAACCGTTATTTCAGCTGCACTGAAGCTCTAATACCCTTCACATGGGCATTCCTTATAGCAAAAAGGATATAAAAAGATCTTGATATATCGATTAGTTAAATGGCAGCTTTATACAATAGACGTCCAATCTAAACAATATATTCGTAAATTGTAGTATTGCTTTGGACAAAACTCCATGCCAAATTTCATGAAGATATCGTGTCAAATAAAAAAAAGTACATACAAGGACTATTTTGACCGATCATTTGTATGACAGCTATATTCCTATAGTGGTTCTAAGACAGTGGACGCGTTGTTTCCGGCGTTTACTGCCTAATGTTTACACTTAGCCATCTTATCTTCTTCTTCACGAATTCCGAAAATTATCCTAGAACTACTTAACTAACTAAGATTACCGATTTTAGTTGAATGTCTATCATTCGGGAAGGTTTGACGTTCCATGTCGTGCATTCATTTTCAATAATTAAAATTTATCAAATTTAAAAAATTTTTCTATTTTATTTCGCATGCATCTTCGGTATTTGTCGTAGGTAGCATCGTGGTAGCATCTATGGAATTCATCACTGATTTGTGCATACAGTTTATAAATTCTGCTTTTAGCCGAAAATATATGAAGTGGACGGATGGACGGACAGACAGACAATCACTCCAGAATTCAAATTGTCTCGTCATCTTGATCATTTATATATGTGTATATTTATATATATACATATACCATGTTACTTATTATATTTATAGGTATATATGTACCATATTTATGAAGTTTGCCAGAAGAGCGAAAATGAGGTGTTAAAGTAAACATTTGTATTTGACAAGATTTATTCACAAAATTTGAACGGATTACTATCGAATGCAGCGCTACAATCTCCGAATAAATTGTTCAGATCGAACAACTATAGCATATGCTATATGAACGAATAGCATATGTCATTTAAACTGACCGATCACAATCAAGGAATTGATCTCTATAAAGGTTGTTTTCCGTTGGATGCAAATTGTTGGCCGGTTAAGTTTTCAAATTTAGTAATAGATATAGTAGTTGGTATAAGAAATGCACCGTGAAGGTTCTTATATAATATATTATATATAATAATTATAATATCTCAGTGCAGCGGGAGTTACCATATTTCTCGTATTTCCATTAAATTTAAAATTATTATTTATACAAAGTAAATCGGCCATTGTTACCGAATTATCTATGTAGAGAAAGCAAGGAGGGAAACTTTTCAATTATTAGCAAGAGCCACATTGTTTGTTGTAGCAAAAAACCGAAATATGTTAATATTTTACGAACCGGAATTTATAACGATTAAGGTTTATATAAACGAAAAAAAAACTAGTATAAATCGCATAAACTGCAAGCACATAGCGATAGAACATAGGTATTTTACATTTTGTTGCGGTATTTTGTACTGTACTGAATTCAATTGGATAACTTTATTGATGCTATGAAGTTATTTGAGAAGAGAGCATAAGGTAATCCTGCGACAAATAAATTTGGAAGGAATATTTTAGTTTTATCAAAACTATTATACTATATTAAAAGTTTTAATTACAGAAATAGTAAAAAGCGCAAGTGCGTAAAGTAAAACAAGTAAGGAAGTACTAAGTTCGGGTGTAACCGAAGATTTTATAATTTCGCAACTTGCAAGGACTATTGCAATATATTCGAAGTATTGATCCGATTCAACCCATTTTTGACACAAACATACTATTAGCGAGAATTTCATTATTTAATTTATATATATAATTTCAATATATATCTTACACATTGACTGATATTTTCGATAAAAAACTATAGCACTGGGTCCCATATTTAGTACTAGGGCTTGAACAGTTTTGGTTCGATTTAGACATTTTTGGTCACCAAGGTGGCATATTTAAAGTATTTTCATGCAAAGTTTTACCCCGATATAATCATTGTTGCTTGATTTGCATAGAGGAAAGTGAAAGAATCAGATGGAATTTAAAGTGGTGTTATTTGAGAAATATCCGATTTCGCCGATTTTCGCATACAAGTATAACATTAAAAATGAGAAGAATGTGATGTATCGAATTTGGTTGAAATCGTTGGGCAGATCTCAAGATATGGGTTTTCACCTAAAGTGGCGTGCCACGCCCACTGCCTAATTATGAATTTGCTTTCTATAAAGTCATCTTATACCATCCCAGAAACAAAATTTAATTTCTTTGGCGTGTATAGTGCTTGATTTACGCGCTTTTAGTAGTTTTTAACAGTACCGTTATATGGGGAGTGGCGGGGTTGTCACCCGCTAGCTTTAGCGGATTTAGGAGATTGCAATAAATATTAGAGCACGCCACTTTTAAAAAAATTTTAACTGCAGATGCCCCTCCCTAATGTGATCCTGTACCAAAAAACAGTCTTGTATCTTATCGTGCTAAGCAATTTATTGTTTTTGATAATGGCGTTGTGGCTGCAGTGGGCCGATTACGCCCATCTGAAATACCAACCGTCTACGGTACCAAGACACATGTACCAAGTTTAA